TATCTATCTATCTATCTATCTATCTATCTATCTATCTATCTATATCTGTCTGTCATAATAGGTGAACTTGGTTGTTGAATAAAAGTTTCAAATTCTGTATCTTTCTCAAAATCTCTCCTTCCTTCATGAGATCACTTTTTATTCTACCAGCAATTTGTAACTATATCAACCATGATAAATTCTTACTTTCACTTATCAGTTCTTGCTGTGTCTTTGGTCAGCTGAGCAATGTTAAATGACAGCCTAATCAGTTGTCACTGGCAGCATTTTATTTTTATACTAATGATGTCTGGAGAGTCCATGTTTTAGATAAATTGTTGACAGTACATTAAATCTCTAATAGTTGCTTTTTAATATGATTGATTATTTTTTTAGAGCTTTTTATTTCTGCCATTATTTTGTTTTCAAGCAGAGTTGTCACCCACAAGTTTCATAAATGTGTAGGGCAAGTATTAGAAATGTTTGAAGTGCAGGGTAGATATTATCAAATTATTTAAAGTGCTAGACCTGATTACTAAAAATATGCTATGATCTATCATTTTCTAGTTCTATATAGTTTAAATACGTTGGTACTGGATTCAGTGTTTGATATTAAACAAATTCATCTGCAGATCACCACTGGCATCCACAATCACCACAGTCATTCATCAAAATGTCAAAGCGTGCATTGTGATGTAACGAAGCAAGCACCACCTTGATGATGTCACAGTACAAGTACAAAAGGGACAGAAATGGCATTGCAAATTGTGATGGATATTTTGTCATATGCCCCCCATGCTCCTCCCATGGACATCTATGTGCAGTACACTTTTTTTTTTTTTTTGGCCTATTACTAAGAAATAGATTTCAAAATATGAAATTTTAACAAATTGAAATTAGGGAATGAGTGATGTTTCAATTGTACATTTTTCTGGCTCCTGCTTTAAGAGATGATATGTTGAATACACTTCAGGCAAGGAAAGCAGTAATTTGATTAATTTACACAATTCTTAAGCTGGGATACAAGAATGAACCTCCTGATTTCATCAGGCTTTTGTTAATATTTTCATTTTGCATTTGACATGTAATTTTTATCCTCTCTAAATTATACAGAGGGTTGTAACTGAGATAAAGTAGCTCAAGTAACAGCAGCTTATTTTTAGATACTTTAAATAGATAATATTGCAGTCTTTCTACACATAAGGCGCAAATTGTAATCAGATTCTACCAAGGGAGAATAAAAATGCCCACCTACTTTGAGATATAAACTTGGGATAGATTCATTAATTACTGCCAATTGAATTAGATTCAACATTTTAAATTAGTCTTAAATGTATTAAATATTTTGGAATTTGGATAAATCCTGTCTTCAGAGCAAGAAAATATTGAACCATGAAATTACATATAATTAGAAGTATGCTCAACAATTTCTGCAATTTGCATTTTTAAACACGTGCATAATAAAAATAGAAATATTGAACTACAAGATTGGTAATATGAATTACGGAATACGGTTAAAATAATAAATATGAGAATTATCTCTGATTTCAGACAATTTGGACTAATGGCTTCCCACATCTATGGCAATATGATGGTTCCCCTGCTTGCCATTTGACTGAGAGAGGTTTTTAATAGCAAGTGAGAAAGAAAAATAAGTCCTATAGTGCTGTTAGAACTTGCTTGTCACCAAGTCTAAGAGAAAATGGTGCAAAAATAGTTTGGTATTTATTCCTTTCCCAATACCACTGATGCAGAGGGGCATCAAGGAAATTAAAACTCTTTTTCATGCTATAGTTTCTTCACAGGTTGACTGTTCTACTCTTTTTTGATTAAAAAGAGCACATTTCCCATGGCAAAAGTGATATCAACCCTGGAAAATAGCGAAGGAGTTAAGAAATTAAGGTCTCTGCAGTGAACAAAAATGATGCAGTTCTCTGAAGTAGTAAGGAACAAGGACATTTAGTAGGAAGACATTGGTAGCCATGCCAAATAATTCATTAAATCTAAAAAATCTAATAGACTTATATTTAAAGTAAAATTTGAAATCACCATTATAGTATGTACAATTAAGCTGTGCTTGTGAGAAGCTGGTTTTAACGTCACTTTATGTTATTTGAGATCCCTTCAGGTCTCTTTATACCCAGTATGGCTGTAGGAGCAATAGCGGGTAGAATAGTTGGAATAGGTGTGGAACAGTTGGCCTACCATCATCATGACTGGATCATCTTCAGAAACTGGTGTAGACCAGGAGCTGACTGTGTTACTCCAGGACTTTATGCAATGGTGGGAGCTGCTGCTTGTTTAGGTACAATGTGCTATTCTTTTGTTTTAATTGTCGTTGTGCATGATATGGTGTAGTATCTGTTGACATCCCTAAATTTTGCAGTTTTAAAAATGCATGGCTATTGTACCGAAAAATTAGATTATGGCGTCATTTCACAAGTGGTAGTATTATTAAGCAAGCTGTTTTAAAAATAGAATGTATTAATGTTATAAAACCAAACATAAACATAAAATAGTTTAGTATAAATATAATGGTTATTTTAGTATACCTCTAAAGAAATCCACCTCTAGAACAAATATTTTACCATAAGCAACAGACAGAAATTATTGTTTGGCTTCATAGCCAACTGTCTAATTTAATAAAATTGATAAGACTCTCTATATATTGATAAATACATGATGCCACTTCTTAATGAAGCGTTAACTCAGATTTTGTCAGCTTTTTATTTTCAAATGATAAAAATGTCTTTGTATATGCAAATTAATAGATCTATGTGTATAAACATTAACATGTTTTCTTTCTAGTACAGTACCCAAAATACAGTATAAGGTGATTTATTTAAGATCCTTAAAATAGTGTAATATAGTACAATAATTTTTATTTCAGCCTACATGGCAAATAATATAGTATATAGGAATGCCTTGTTGAGCAGATACCACTTGTTCCTTAGTGCCAAAGGAGAAAGTTCATTACTTCTAGGATGATGCAATGAAGAACTACAACTGTAACAAGCATACATTAACTTTCAGAAGGTTTGTTTTTAACAGATTAAATATATCTGTTCAAATGAGAACAAAAAATGGCTTTATTCCAGTTATAACACTTTCTACCCTCCCAGTGTTTCTTTGGAATTTTCATATGTTCTTCAAAAGTTATAAATTTTTCAGAAAGATCTTGATGTTGACAGCAAAAGAATACAATTCCTGCCATTCCCTTAACAATTGCTAGGTAATGTGACCCTCTACTCCCCATGATAATTACCCAATCCTTTCCCCCATTTCTCCTCCTGCCCCCTACCCAAATGTCTGCTGTTATATTCGGGGCTGGTATGAAATAAATGGCTGATAATAAATATTGAACAAAAGTTGTCAGATCTCATTTTAAAAATTTGAGTAGCTCTAACAGGACATTCTTGAAGAATGTTTTGAATGCTATAATTTGTAGAGTGAAACCTACTGGTATGTGTAATACTAGGGAATTTGGTAACCATTTATTCCTAAAGGGACTTAAGGAAATAAGTTTATTAAATAAGAAGTACTAGAAACTTCCTGCCTGCCTGCCTGCCTGCCTGCCTGCCTGCCTGCCTGCCTGCCTTCTTCTCACAGCTGAAAACTTGTAGATAGGTTGAGCCCAGAATCATCCATTGAGCTATATGTTGAGTAGTAAGAAAGTTGCCCCTTCTAAATCCAACACCTTAACTGTTACACTATACAGGTAGTCCTTGCTTAACGACCATTCATTCAGCGACTGTTCAAAGTCTCAGTGGTGCAGAATGAATGATACTTACACCCGGTGCCTGAAGTTACAGCCGTTGCAGTGCTCCTGCAGTCATGTGATCAAAACTTGGGTGTTTGGCAGCCCGCCTGCACTTACAACCGCAGGGGCTTTTCAACTCCCCCTACCCACCTATCTCCCTCCATCTCTGCACTTTTGGCTGCCCTGCACAACAGCACTCTTTGGCAGTGGCAGCAATGCTGAGACTGAAGTTGAGGCCCGGAGCCTTCAGCAGTCTCAGCCAGCCACCACCACCCTGGGCCTCGACTTCAGCCCCAGAGCTGTTGTCATGGAGTGCCGCTTCAAGTCCCACATCGTGGCCAGCCACCTCAGTGCCACCATGCAAAGTCCCAGTCAGCATACAACCCTGTGCTCCGCAGGCCCTGCTGCAGCCAGCTGACTTTCACCATCTTCCTCCCACTGCTGACGAGGCATGCCCAGCCTGGCCCTATGCATGGCAGCTGCTGGCTGCGTCATGCCTTTTTCCCAAGACCACTCACGCTGTTCTCCAAATAGTAAGCACCATTCTTGTAATGCTTCAGAAGCTCCTGAGGCCTTCTGAAACCTTGCGAGAGGCCTGTGCCCCCATTCTACAAATCGTGCCCATCATTATCCAAATTGGGCATGCTGTTCTTGTGATGCTTCAGAAGGCCTCAGAAGCTTTCTGAAGGCTTTCCAAAACATTGCAAGAATAGCGTGAGCAATTTGGAGAATGGTGGGCACGGCCTTCTTGCAAGGCTTCAGATGGCCTCAGAAGCTTTCTGAAGCATTATGAGAATGGCATACCCTATTTGGAGAATGGCATGTGCTATTTGGAGAACAGTGCAAGTGGTCTTGGGAAGAAGGCCTGGTGCGGCCAGCAGCTGCCTGACATAGGCCCAGAAAGGGCACACCTTGTCAGCAGTGGGAGTAAGATGGTGAAGGTCAGTTGGGCGCAGCAGGGCCTGTGGAGCACAGGGTGGCGGGGGTGCCTGGGGATTTGTACTGGGTGGCTGGCCATGGCACAGGGCTTGAGGTGACACTTTTTGTCAGCAGCAGCAGCGCTGGGGCTGAAGTTGAGGCCTGGGGGTGATGGTGGTCAGCTGAGACTACTAAAGACCCTGCACCTCTACTTTGGTCCCAGCGCTGCCACCGCTAAGGAGTACCACTGTGCAGGGCAGCCAAAAGGACAGAGATGGGGGGATATAGGCAGGTGTGGGGAGTTGAAGAGGAGGCAGTCCCTTACCTTCTTGAGGCTCAGGCTGGGGCAGACCAAACCAGGAATGGCTTGGATCGGGATGGGTGCTTGCCTAATGACCAGTGGGATTCAGTTAACAATGGCAATGGGGACTGCCAGGATTGCCATATTAAGTGGTGCAATCATATGATGTTGCGCTTTATGACCGCATTGCTTAGCGATGGAAATTCCAGTCTCAATTACTGTTGTAACTCGAGGACTACCTGTACTGGTAACAAAAACATTTCTGCTTTTTTTACTTTAGCAGAATCTGGGCCTAATTTTTTCTTTTGGAATGTGCTATTCTTGCACATTTAAAAATGGTCTTTTCTTTATCTGGGGTACTTTAAAATAGTCTGATTATTGTTTAATTTTCATTTATTCATGTCTAAGTTGATTCATCTAGAAAGACAATGCCTTAAAAGGCGAATAAGAAGTATTTGAACTAACTAAATAAAATTGCTTTTGCCCAACCTTAATTCATAAACTCTTGGAATGAAGGAACCACATCCATATGGGGATGAGGAGAGCCAAGGCTATCTACTAATTCAATGAATGATGTGCCTGGTACCATGCAGTACAACTGCAGGGCTGCCTTTGATCCCATGGTGATTTGGTTAATGGAAAAATGTTGTTAACATTTTGTAATTGATTCCACTTGTGAAACCACATGTCAGGTTGTAAAAAATCAAAGTGATATCTTCTGTGACACCCTTGCCCAACAATTTCTTTCTCTTGACAGGTGGAGTTACCAGAATGACAGTCTCACTTGTCGTGATCATGTTTGAATTAACAGGAGGGCTAGAGTATATTGTGCCTCTTATGGCTGCAGCTGTTACTAGCAAGTGGGTCGCCGATGCCTTCGGCAAAGAAGGGATCTACGAGGCACATATACATTTGAATGGCTATCCATTCCTGGATGTAAAGGATGAATTTACCCACAGAACACTGGCTACTGATGTTATGAGGCCCAGGCGCGGAGAGCCTCCTCTTTCTGTCTTGACCCAAGACAGCATGACTGTGGAAGATGTGGAGACATTAATCAAGGAAACAGACTACAATGGCTTTCCAGTGGTGGTTTCTAAAGAGCGTCTTATTGGCTTTGCACAGAGACGAGACTTGATTCTTGCAATAAGTGAGTTGCATCTGTTTCATATCGATGTGATTAATTCTATGTGCGGCCTAGAAGAAAGTTAGATAAGAAATGAATTGTGTGCCACAGGATTCTAAGCTTAAAAGAAAAGATCCCAGTAACATGTCCTCTCAAGTCTATGCATTTATTTTTCCCTTTGAAAATTAGTCTTTAGAAAAGGATTGATTCTATTAGGAATAACAGAATGTGTTTTTTCTGGTTACTTTTTGTAATGAGAAAAGTGTTGCTATATATATTAATAATTGTACTAAGACAGAAATAGATTACATTTCTATATGACTCTATCTTTTTTCTCTTATTCTAGTAGACATCTTTTCAAAGTTAAAGCTGGACTGTAGCAAATTGACACACAGAGGCATAGATGAAAGCAAACATGCTTTGCAAAACTGGGGATATTTATCATAAGAAGACAGGACAAACGTTAATAATTTATATAAAATGTAATAAATTACATGCAGGCTTGAAGGCTGGTTGGAGGATGATAGCAGCTTGGGATCTGGCAGTTTTAATTTCATGGCTGTTACAAAAGATGAGTTTAAGGGAAACATAATACAGCACAGCTCGAATGTGTTAGAAATTGACAAGGTTCTGTTGTTAGAAGTTAAGAGTTGGTTTCAGCTCCATGATTGATGGAAATTAGTTCAAAGTGAGAGAGAGAGAGAGAGAGAGAGTCAGACTTGCACTGAAAGCCTCTTCTGAAGATTAGAATCAAGCAAGAGGAAATATTATTAGCATTAGTTAGCCTTTGTTTTTGAGCAGAGGATATTTTTAGAAAGCCTATTAGTGTTCTGGAGGTTTCAGCACATGTACACACTGGAAATCAAAGAAAAAGGAAGGAAAGGGAAATGGTTGCATTCTTCAGCAGTAATTGTTTAAAAGATTGTTGTGCACACATTAGAGAGGAAAGGTAATCATAATAACGATAATATATGCTTCAATTAGCTGAAAGATATATGTCAATACTGAGCTTAATGAAGAGTATAATTGAAAAGTCAAATAGGCACTTTCCTAAAATAAGGTTTAAATTGATTAAGTTCACCCGTTGGCAACCACTTTGGGAATTTGACATTTAACTCTATTCAATAATCACAGTGCTAAGCCAACAACAAACCACAGTATGGTTTCAGGTTATATATGCTACAATTAGACTTTGTAATCCTTTGCCACTATCCCTTTTTCATTCCTTCTTGAGCTCAGATTCCCTTCCATGTTCAGACTAGTTAATTTGTTGTTTTATCCAAAAGGTGTCAACAATAGTTTGCTCTTCAATCAGATTTTATCCCTTCATTCAATTTACATGGCTACCCAACTAGCAAATGTGACTTTTGAAAGGCTTTTCCGTGTCTGGTTTGGCTATTATGAAAAATGGTAGTTTGCTGAAATAGCAGTTGAATTGTTTGTAAGAAGGGTTGTGCCCCTACAAGATGTTGCTTTTGTATGCCTTTCACAGCAAATAAGGTCCCTTCAAAGGGTTAAGGGTAAACTTTGGTATCCATGGCCTCTACATTTTTCAGTTAAAAAGATTAGGGGGTATGCTCCAAATTCCCTCTATTGAACAATGTCATCTGGTGGGACCTAGGAGGTGGGCCTCTCCTCATGATCTGGAAGACCCCTACTCTCTTTGTTTCAGGAAGGCTGTGAAGACCTGGCTCTTCCCCCAGGCATTGAGCCACAATGGGAGCTGAGCCCAGCACAGGCTGTGAAGACCTCGCTCTTCCCCCCGGCAGTGAGCCACGATGGGAGTTGAGCCCAGCACATGTGTATTTGGGATAGGAGTGTTCTAGCGCCTTGATTGGGTGTCCTGATTTTAATTTTGTCGAGCGTTGTTATTTTTGTATGTTGTGAGCATTCAGGATTGTACTGTGGTGGCCATATAAATCTTTTAAATAAAGACATTTTTATTTATTCCTGTGAAGTTGTGGCCACATAACACTTCAAAAAGCTTTTGAGGAGCCCCTTGCTATCTGCTGCCATAGTGAGTGCAGAAGAAAAGTGCTATTAAATGATACTGTCGCCATGGAAGCTGTGTAGTGATCCAGCTTCAAAGGGTAAAAAGTGATTCAGAATGTCATTCGACAGCTTAAACAAAATGCATTGTTCCTGGGGTTGTGCAACAGCTATAGAGGCAGCTGTACAAGCCCACGAGAAGTTAGATTCTTGAAGGAGTTACCAACACCTTCTAGGTGAGTATCATGCTTGTTCTGAAACACCTCCCCTGTGTAGCCTTAAGGTAAAGAGCTGGGTTTGTGGCCACTGGAAGCAGAAATGCAGCAATCTACCTCATGTTTTCTCTTTTCTTCCCATTAAAGGGATTCAGATCAGTAAATGTCTGCAACAGGAATAAAGCAATCTTTGCCTTTTTCTGGATCTGCATAGTTGTGCAAATGCATGCAGGTGGATCTCTGTAGGCCTGAACCTTATGCCCTCGGACATGAAAGAGTGCTGATCGTATAATTCAATGCTCATTCTGAAAAAAGGGCAAGTAAAAAAGGGAGCTGGGATAATTCTGGCATCAGTATTAGTGTGCCGGGACTGCTATACAGATGTGTTTAATAACAACGTGATCTTGCATGAACTGTTAAAGGGTCATCAGGAAAAGATAACTATTTATCTCCCAAGATGGGTGTACAATAGTCCTAACTTGTCTGACCTTTCTCATACAGAAAATGCAAGGCAGCGCCAGGATGGTGTAGTAAGCAATTCTATTGTATATTTTACTGAAGAGCCTCCAGAGGTGCCTCCCAATAGCCCTCATATGCTGAAGCTCAGGCGCATTTTGAATCTGAGCCCCTTCACCGTCACGGACCACACACCAATGGAAACAGTGGTAGACATTTTCCGAAAACTTGGACTCAGGCAGTGTCTTGTCACACGCAGTGGGTAAGTGTGTAAATTATTTTTGTTTTAAAAAGTATGTCTCTTGAAGGGGAGGGGCTTATTCTCTGGAAGAGATCATTCCAGTTCTCCACAGATATGTGTAATGTTAGACCTGGAAGAAGAGCTGGGTTTGATTACAAGGGATTCCAGTTTGAGTTTAAAAAAAATAGCAGTGCAATTTTTGAAAAATAAGTTAAAATTAGACTGAAATAAAAAAGATACAGGTGGCATTTGAAGCCTTCTTCATAATTTTTCAGCAACAGCAGCTGGTGTAATACAGATATAGGTAGGTGATTTTTTTCCCTATACCACATATATTAGAACAAGAACTTAAGGAAGAGATGCCATTAAAGTATGAACTTGCGAATAATGAATTTCCAAAGTGGTTAGCTATTAATGCTTTTTAAAATGTACCCTACCCTCTGGCTCATAGCAATATATCTTATTTTTGCTCTATTGACTTAAGAGCAGAATTGATAATACATGTATGTAATTAAACTTCATATGTAGGTCAAACTACTGCCAAATATGTATTATTTTTAATCTATTGAAAAAACCAATATATTGCTGCTGGGGAGAAATGCCAGCAGCATTTCAGCTTTTAGCCAGACTTACAGTAAATGTGCCTCAAACACTTATGGAAATCCCTGCATGAATGACACATTAAGAAAATTAACCAGTGGAGATTTATTTTTCCACAAACTGAAAATCCATGGGATTTACAAGCCTGTAAGAAGGTAAGGAATGAAAAAAAGAGACAGAAGCTAACTTCTGTGAAACAGTGGCCTTGTAAAGAATGTGGAACATGTCCCTCAAAAGCTCAAACAATCTGGAGCCATGATGGAAGCCAAGTTGCAGTGCTGGAAATGGTGAAGTACCTACTGTAGCTGTAAAGAACATTTCCAAAGTTAGGGTAATATTTAGTGCTTTTCCCAACTTCCTCATTGGCTGAAGAGCATACAGATTCTGGTTTTTGATAAGTAAAGCTCACACACTGATACTTATGTGTATGAGCGCGGCCTGTTGTGCATCAGCGTATCGATGCGCCTTATTCTCGTGATCCTTCGGAAAGCTTCTGAGCCCTCTGAAGCATCATGAGAATGGCGCAAGTAGCCTTGGGAAGAAGGCGTGGTGAGGCCAGCAGCTGCCTCACATAGGGCCAGGCTGGGTGCACCTCATCAGGAGGAAGATGGCTAAGTTCAGCTGGTCACAGCAAGACTTGCGGAGTGCAGGGCAGCATGAACTTTGTACTGTGGCACTGTGGCGGCTGGCTGCAGCACAAGGCTTGAGGTGGCACTCCTCGGTGGTGACGACACTGGGGCCAAAGTTGTGGCCCAGGTGTGGTGGCGGCTAGTTCAGACTGATAAAGGCCCTGGGCCTCTACTTCAATTCCAGTGCCACCAGTGCCATCGCTGCCACTGAGGAGTGCCATTGCACAGGGCAGCCAAAGGGGCAGAGATGGAGATAGGGGGTGGGGGGAGTTCAAGAGGAGGCAGAGGAGTCAGTCCCTTACCTTACAGAGCCTCGGGTTGGGATGGACCAAGCTGAGTAAGGCTTGGATTGGGGTGGGGGGTCCTCACCTCTCAACCGGTGGGATTCAGTAACAACAACAAAAGGGGTCCTGGGATTGCTATCGCTAGGCAATGCAGTCACATGATGTTTCACCTAATGCTGCATTGCTTAGAGTCAATTCTGGTCCCAGTTACCATCATAACTCAAGGACTACCTGTACCTAGTTAAACTAAAACACATTGTCTGGTGTCTGTACTGAAGCTCACCAGGTTTTCTTAAGGAGATCATTCAATGGCTAAGTGCTGTTACCGAAAAACTCTTCACTAAAACACATTTTTAGAAGAACCCCAATGTTTCATAACTGCACTAAAAATACTTGCAAATAAAAATATTTGTTTGAAATGATTCCCAGTAACGTGTAGTATTTAGTACTACTCATAGGACATACTGTGATATTTTTTAAAAAGAAAACAATTCTCCAAGCATTGCACTATTTATCTTTGGAGCTTTGATAATAGAATACCTATCAATCGTTTTCTGTTCTTCCAGTCCTTTGAGAAATAAAAAGGAATGATTACCTTTTATACTGAAGGACTTAGGTGTTTATGGTGTTAAAAAATAGAATTTTTGGAACTATATGGTCAATTATTTGAGGCACTGGACTGTAATAACTACCACTTGACATTATCTCTCGGAAACCATTTGCAGAAACTGTTGGGACCCTCCAGGCCAAAGCAGAAGAAGCTCAGTCCGGGGCATAAAGAGACCAGTAGATCAAAGTATTGCGAATGACGTGAAGGCAAAGGCTTCTGAACTGTGACCTGGATGCCAATGCATCACACTGAAAAAAACCTTCCTGCAAAACCACTGAATGATACGCCCTCCCCCTTCTCTCCCAAACATGCTAGAATGCAAAAGGGTGCAAGTTCTCAAATATCCGTTAATTCCATCAGTCACAATTCATGAGTGTATTAATTATTGTAGAGGGAGGTTGGCGTGGCTACTGAGAAAACAGAAAAACAGTTGGTATAAAAATATAAGTAAAGAAAAATAGCAGAGCTAATCTTAGCTGTATGTAACATAGTCTTACTTGTCAAGTGGGACAAGTTCTCGCCTGCCCAAGAAACAGCTTTAACTAAGCGCATTGAGGAATGCAGCTGGACGGAATATGGCGTCTTTATCCTTTTGCCAAAGGCAGAGAAAAATATAATGAAAGCTCTGCTCTCATAAAAGAAATGCATTGTGGTGAATTTTCTTTAGTTCATTAATGAAAATCATTCTTTTTTTAAAAAAAATTCCCATTTCTTGGTTTTTAAAGAAGGGAGGAGCGGGGTGTCTTTCTAAAACTATTTGATTCTTTTCTGTGGTAAGTTTTGCCTGCAGCAAAATTTGAAAAATGAACAAGACAGGCTAATGATTAATCACAATTCTTGTTTCTTTCCTCCCCTTCTTCTCTAGGAGGCTTCTGGGCATTATAACCAAAAAAGACGTGTTAAGGCATATGGCTCAAATGGCAAATCAAGATCCTGAATCCATCATGTTTAACTAGTCTGTTCCCAGCAGAGAGACCAGAAATCTTAAGGCAAAAAATTCTTATTGAACTGATATAAAGGAGTTTGAATAGCTCTTCATTTTTTGTTAAAATAAAATTTGAATAAATAGAACTATGTTAAGGGCAGAACCAAAGGAACGGATAACAGATTGAACATTTGAGTTATGTTTGGTAAAGGAGTTTGAAAATTCCATTCAGCTGTGGGCTTTCAACTATTTTCCTGGGCACACGTTTCTGTTGTAATAAACACAGTCATTATCATAGCAAGTTTTCTCTCCAATTGCCCTGCCTATTCTATCCCATAATATATATGATACTTTCCTCATGATTTGGGATGTCCTCATACCTTTAAATTTTTGTTTCCACTATGGTTGCTGAAAAACTGATGAGGGCAGAAAATTACATGAAAACTATATGACGTGTACTATATATGTATGTGTGTGTGCGTGTATACACATATACATACATACATACATACATAAGGTAGTCCCCAGGTTAAGAACGCCCGGGTAACAGACAACCCATGGTTAAGAACAGAGCCCACTGTACAAAATTTGAGTTGATTACACAAAGATTCAAGTTAAATACACAGTGGTTCGGGTTAATTACACAATACTGCTTATATAGTATTAAACAATAATACTGTTCTGGCTTACATACAAATTCGACTTAAGGACAGACCTTGGGAACAGAACTCATTCTTAAAAACTTGGCTTACATACAAATTCGACTTAAGGACAGACCTTGGGAACAGAACTCATTCTTAAAAACTTGGCTTACATACAAATTCGACTTAAGGACAGACCTTGGGAACAGAACTCATTCTTAAAAACTTGGCTTACATACAAATTCGACTTAAGGACAGACCTTGGGAACAGAACTCATTCTTAAAAACTGGAAACTACCTATATATATGAAAAAGAGCAAACTGGGATAATGGAATTATAGTTCAAAATGTTTGGCAAACATCAGGTTTATGGTTTAGTAATTGGATTTAAAAATGAATTGAATTAAATAAATAAATACTAAGCTTAGACTTATCATGAGGATTGGTTAGAGAGAGATTATATAAATCATGCTTACAAAACTTCAGGAGCAGGGAGAAGCAATGTCAACTTGATAAAATATATTAAAAATAGCAAGCATATTTATGCCTACAATATCATCAAAAATGCAAAATGTTGTATTCATTGCACATGCTCTATTTCATATTTCTTAAATTTCTATTTGCATTCTCAAGTTAGGTTGTTTTCTAAAACTCTATACTTTTGTGAAGAATTGTCTTGTTTTTACTATTTTTGCAGAAGTTCATAGATACGGTAGAAGTAAAGGTGCACTTCAGTTAACTTTCAGTGCTATTGTTCAATCTGAGTTCTCCTATTCATTTTTAATATGATGAAATAATCAGCAAATCCTTTTTTTTTTTTTAATGGTGAAATTTTCTTCTTACTGTGTTCCCACGCATGAGCAAGATGTGAGGTAGAGCACATAATGTTATATATTTTCTAGGATAGCTGACATGTGAAATTGGATCTCTGGCCACACATTTTTCTCAAAAAGTATTTTGAACAATAAGCTTCAGTATTCCTAGACAAAAAAATTGTTTTAGTGTTTTTCCTTAAAGAAAAAATGCTTATCAACACATAGTTTTGTTTTTTTTAAGTATTCATTCTTTGTGCAAATGTTGCATATTTATTTTAGGTCACAAAGATTTTACAGTACGAAATATTTTATAACCCATCTCAGAATCAATTCAGTTAATTTCTATGAGTTAAAAACTGTGCAAATGAGTTTGAAGTTTGGACATGAATAAGATAAATATGATATTTGCTATAGATAATCTTCAGATTACACGTCGCAGCATACGAGTTAAATGACAGGATGTCGAAAGGATCTTGGGGATGCTCAGTTATTACCAGTTCCTGGAAGAAATATGCTGAAATGGAGCTCCAGGAAGGATCAAGATGGTTTCCAAGCTTGTAACCCCACTAATGTTAATATATACTCAGTTTTACGTGGTTTGTTGATAAATTTATTGCCTGGTGTATACATGACATCTACTTCCTGTGTGAGTATGTTTAATATTTTGCCAAAAGTTTATCCAACTTGGATACATGGTTCTAAATGCCTGGAAAACCAGATTGAGTATTAAGCTGCTTATGATAACATGGCTTTGGTTTTAAGATTCATCAATATATGACAGTCTGGACACATGGAGCAAAGTGTATTTAGCCTCTTGTTAGCCAATTTTGCAGAATGGAATAAAAATAATTCTAATAATTGCCAGGATTTTTCCAGGATTAATAATGGAGACTTAGCTTTATAGAAGAATACCAGAGTATGTCTCCTATATTTCATTAAAAATAACTTTTCTACTACTTCAAATGTCAGAAAATAATAGAACAATAAAATTTGGAAAATAATAAAATTTAGTCAACTTCCCAAAAGTTATTAAACCACCCCTACCCTTTAATATAAAGAAGTTGCTATTCTGTGAGAAAGTGTGTGAATTTAAATGTGTGCTTGGAGGTGAAATGTAACATTATGTGGGACTGCATCACCAAGCTGCAATGCAACCATTTTAAAACTTTATTTTAATTTGTTTTTAAACTCTTATTCCCTTGACATCCAAATATAGCTTTTATAATTAATCTGTACAATTAAATTAATCTGTACAATGATGCAACAGAGTGGAAATGCTAAGATAGCTCTGATAAATATTACATTTTAAAATGTATCCAGTGAAAAGGAAGTTCAGTGCAATAATCAACATGGTGCTGATGTACAATAAAGTTTTCCTTAAACATTCTTAATTTCCTAGCTTATAACTGTAGGGCAAAAAAGCACAATAGTTTTCAACACACAAAGAATAGCTTTGAAACATACGATAGATATTTTGGTATTTATACTTTCTTATGTTTAAGTTATGAGCAATCTATGGCTTCTTTTCATTGGCATATGCTGGGAAATTATCAGAAAGAGTTATCTTTCTGTTTCATGTTATTTCTTGAGGAGAAAAGCACAACTTGATGAAACATACTCTGAATTCCGAACATGAGTAATAGATTTGCTGAAATTTCTGGTTGCTCATATATATGTGTAG